CCAAAACTTAACTACGAATAGCCTACTGTTGACCTGAAGCCTTACTGATAACATAAACAGTTGATTAACACGTATTTTGTATATGTATTACATACTATATTTTTACAATAAAGTAAGCTAGAGAAAAGAAAATGTTACTAAGAAAATCATAAAGATACATTTACTGTATTTATTGGAAAAAAATCTGTGTATGAGTGGACCTGCATAGTTTAAACCATGTTCAAGGATCAACTGTACATATTTATTGTTATTCATCGTTATAATAATGCTAACAATTATTGAATGGGAACAGTACTGTATGTGCATTGTCTCATTTAATCCTTTTAATACTTGATCTTTATGAAGAAGGTAACATTATTTTGAGAAGGCCCCCTCCCCCCGCCCCTCCCGACCTCCGTCAACTTTTGTCCCATTGTTGAACATTTGTGTGTTATGGGTGTTGTGCTGAACTTCAGGGATAAAGCAAGAACCTGTCATGGCCCCACTTCTCAGGGACTCAGAGCTTAGCAGTAGGTAGCACTAGTTATAGGGCAGGTAACCTAAAGAAAAACTAGTCAAGATATAGGTACATTAAGACAAAACTAACATTGCTTCAAGGATCCTAAATCATTCCCTCAGATCTTTAAATGCCCTTTTCCTGCCAGTACAATTACCTACTAGCCTCCCTCTAACGTCTTAGTTTTCAGAATAATCAGAGGGGACACCATTAATTGTAATGATGTGGTATTTATTTAAGTGTTCTCTGGTTTATGGGCTTTCTCTATCTGTTGTTGCTACTGTTCCTCCTCCTGAGACTGTATATTTAATCCTTTCACTGCTAATTTGCATTTCTGCCAGAGGAAAAGGAAGTCTTATTAGAGCATTTCATTTGGTGAGGTTGGAAATCAATAGCTGAGATTTGCTCTGCTCCTAGATTATTTATACTCAGCCGGTATACTCCTCTGCTCCTGTGCTCCACTCCTAGGGCCTTTGCATGTGCTTTTGCTGCACCTCCTCACAGTGGGCATAAATAAGCACTGTGAGTACAAGTAATTCTAAAATTGCTTTTCTCCTGTCCATAGTCAGGAATCTCAGGGACTCCTAGCCAGTCCAAAGAAAAGATTCTGTATGGTTTTGAATATGTTTCTTTAGCTCATGGGTACCCTGCAATAACTATTATTAAATTTCCTTCTAAACTGTGCTGGTTGCCTCCTGGAAAAACAACTGAGGTGTATTTTTAACCTGCCTGTTGACTTTCAGTCTCTAGACTGGAGCTGGTTACAGACGGAGGAAGAAGAGCAGAATAGCTTGGAGCAGGCCTCCTGACTGTGTGGGTGGCCTTGACCACACGATGGGCTGCCTGGCCTGAGGCTCTCCCACAGGTGTGTGCCCTGCTGGCAATCCTGATGTCTTCGGCACCCAGGTGGAGATCTTACTTCCCCAGCCGGTGTGGCACTGACCGTGGACCAAGGGTGTGGCACTGCCAGCAGCTCGTCAGGACACTGGAAGTCCTCCATCACAGAGGCCCAGCAAGCATGGATGCCAGGCAGAGCATTAGGGAGACTAAACCACAGAGGCTCCTTCCTCTGCTCCGAAAACAGTGCTCAAGTACTGTGGCACCACAGACCACTGGACAAACGTCTAACACGAATATTTCAGGGCAAAGTATGAACAGCCCTTGATGCCAGCCTATCCTCTCCTGACCCCTCCTGATCTTCAGAGGCCCTGACCCACATGTCCTCACAGTCAGTGTTTCATTGGATTTGGTTTCTCTTGAACAGACTCTTAAGTCATGGACTTGGCCTGGTCCCATCCTCTCTCTTCCTCTTTTCATTTCACTGCTGCTAAAATCGTCTTTTTACCTACACTGTGGTGGTTATCCTCCCTTCGGCTCCCACGTCTGTAGTCCTTTAAGCCACTAGAACCAGGACGGAAGAGAAACTCCCTTCCTTTGGATCCCAAAGATTACTTGGGAGTGAGTTGTCATGGAGAAGGAGGAGAGAAGAAAAGGTTACTTGTTAACCATTGGCCTGCTGAACACAATGCTCACACCTCTGTCCTTGCTCGGACACATCTGTGTGTGGTGGAGGTGGGACAGGGAGTTCCTGCCTCATATCATCTAGCAGTATTATTAAATTGATTTATTTAAAAAATCGTTTCTAGATCTTGTGAAATGACTCAACACCTGTACTGGGTTCCACAATCCTCTGGTTAGAACTTACGAATTCGAAATCAATTCAGTGGAATAGTACCTGGAATAGTAGCACTGCCTCTTTGACATTTCATAAAATTTCACCTTTATATAAAAGCAGGAAAGAAAATGAGTTCAGATGATCACAAAAATGAGTTTGGTTGGAGAAGAAAGTTAGAATAAAAGAGTTTCACTAGCTTTCATGGGAATAGTGCAGAAGGGTTTCATGGTCAAGTTTAGTTTTGGAAGTGCTTCATGCTTTGCCTCTGGGATCCACATTGTATACTGGTATATTAAAGTAAGCAGGTCTTTGAATAACGTTTTATCCAATGTCATTTCATTATAATGTTGATGAGATACTATAGGAACTTAACTCTTGATTATATCAATTAGCCTATGGTAAAATTGGTTTGGTTAGACATTATTTTGCTTTAAGTTGCAGAACCCATTGATGATATTTTGTTAGTATGATGATTTGTTGAAATATGACATATCTTAGGGTGACCAACTTATCTTGGTTTGCTGAGAACTTTCCTGGTTTCAGAAAGTTCTGAATCCCAGTAAACTTCTCAGTCCCTGTCAACCCAGGATGATTAACCATCCTACATCATGATGTGTCCATATCCTGTGTAATTCGAAGTATTTGACACTTTACTTCAGCAAAATTGCAATTAGGACATTCAACAAGTACCTATTGAGCACCTCTATGTAGCAAACAAGAATTAACTACTTACTTTCATGGCGGTTACATTGGTGGGAAAAGGGATAGAGTAAGGAGTCGATAATAGGCAAGTAACACATGTAAGTTTCAAATAGTTTCAGTGCTATTAAGAAAATAAAGCAGTAGTGGATAGAGTGCATAGTGTTATTCAGGAATGTGACAAGGAGGTGACTACTGGTCTGAGATTTGAATGATGAGAAGAAGGCAGCCAGGCAAAGGCCTGAACAATGAGAGAAGAGCCTTGAAGCAGGTACATCTGTGTAGTAAACAAAGGTAAATGTGGGAAGTAGGAGAGATGGTAGAAGCTAGATCACATTAGGCCATGGGAAGGAATGTGGGGTTTTTAAAAAATTGATTGTAGAGAAAGGGAGGTTGATGGAGAAACACTGATGTGAGAGAAACATCAATCAGTTATTTCCTGCACATGCCCCAACTGGGGATAAACCTGTAACCTGGGTATGTGCTCTGACTGCCACCTTTTGGTATACAGGATGACGCTCCAACCAACTGAGCTACACTGGCCGGGGAAGGAGTGTGGATTTTATTCTAAGTGCAATGAGAAGGTATTTAAGAAAATGAATGATATAGTCTGATGCACATTTTTTTAAAAGAACCACTCTTGTCCTATTTGGAGGGAACAAGAACAAAAGCAAGAAGCCCATTGAGGAGGCTACAGCAGTAATTGGGGATCGAGATCATAGTAGAGTGCACTAGGGTAGTGGCAGTAGAGGTGGTGAGAGGTAATCCAGTTGAGAATATATATTCTAGAGACAGATCAGACAAAACTTGCTGACAGATTGGATGTGGGGTGAGAAAAGCACAATTAAGAATGACTCCTAGGGTTTTTGCCTGATGGCAGGGTAGATTAAAGTGTCATTAACTAAAAAGGCAACCAACTGAATGGGAGGTAATATTTGCAAACAATAGCTCTAACAAGGGGTTAATATTGAAAATATATAAAGAACTCAAATAACTCAACACCAAACAAATAATCCAATTAAAAAAATGGGCAGAGGACCTCAACAGACACTTCTCCCAAGAAGACATATAAATGCCCAAAAGATATATGAAGAGATGTTTAACTTCACTAGCTACTGGGAAAATGCAAATCAAAACTACAATGAGGTAACTACCACCCACCACCTGTTAGAATGGCCATTCTCAAAAAGAAGCTCTCATTCACTGCTGGTGGAAATGTAAATTGATACAGCCACTATGGAAAACAGTATGGCAGTTCCTTTAAAAATTAAAAATAGAGCTACCATATGATCCAGCAATACCTTTTCTGGATTTATACCCGAAAAACTCGAAAACATTTATTCGCAAAGATATATGCACCCCTATGTTCATTGTAGCACTATTCACAGTGGTCAAATATGGAAACAATCAGTGTTCTTCGATAGATGATAAAGAAGATGTGGTACATATATACTATGGAATACTGCTCAGCCATAAGATGAAACACTATCATTTGTGACAACATGAACTTTTGAGGATATTATGCTAAGCAAAATAAGTCAGAAAAAGCTAAGAGCCATATGATTTCACTTATATGTGGGATATAAAACTGAAACTCATAGACAATGGTATGATGGTTACCAGAGGGAAGGGGGTAGGCAGATATTATAGAGCAAAGGGGCCAAATATATAGTGTTGGATTATGATTTGACTTGGGGTGATGGACACACAATGCAATATACAGATCATGTATCATAGAACTTTACACTTGAAATCGATGTCATCCCAATAAATTTTTTAAAAAGTGTCATTAACTTGAGAAGGGGAAAAGTTAAAGAGAAGCTAGTGGGGCAAGAATCAAGAATTCTATAGGACATTTTATCTTTGAGATGCCTGTGATGGACAACTAGAGATAACCAGTAGGCAGTCTGATACATGGGATTAGAGTTCAAGAGAGATGGCTAGAAATACAAATTTAGGAATCTTCAAGCTAGACATGGTATTTTAAAAGGTGAAACTGGACAAGGTGGGGAATCTGGCTAGAAGATCGAGGCCTGAGGTACTTTTCCTTTTAGGCTGGAGAGTGGAGGAGGAGCTGGGAACCAACACACAAAAACCAACAAACTTGAGGAGTGGCTACTACAGAAGAAGAAGGAAGAAGGAAAACGTAGAGCATGTGCTATTTTAGAAGCCAACTGAAAACTATTTCAAGAAGCAAGTGGTTAAGTGGGTCAATTTTAATGGTTGGTCCAAGAGGATGAGGACAGAAAATTGATCATTTCCCCTGATATTCTGGCACTGATTTTCTTTTAAGTTGGCATAATACTCATATTAAAAAAATGGTCCCACAATTCCCTAACGTTATAATGTTCATTATTCAGAGGTGAATAAAAACTTTATTTAAAGAAGAATGATCATTCTTCAGAAAAAAAAAAATGAATATAGCCTGGAATAGAGATGGATAGGAAAAATGAACAGAAAAAAACTAATATGACTCATCCCCCCCCCCCAAAAAAAAAATCTTTAAATATTTTATTAAAGAACAGCTACTTTAGAAACTAAAGACACTCAAGCACTAGTCTACTCATGGAGTTTCTATACAACTAAAGAAGTTGACATCAAATGGACAAAAAAATAGTACAGAAGATCCATGTATTTTTAAAATTCATTTCTAGAAAGTAGGTCAGATGGACTCAAAGACCTCACTGAATGTAGGGAGCAACATACGGCTTTTTGCTGGGGCATAAAGGTAGGAACCAGTCCATGCAGTCAAGAAAAAGTTCTTTCGCCTCCTGGTCTAAATGCTTGCCTTTAGTCTGGGTTCAGAGAAAAGTCCTAATCATTTGAACTGGTTGTCAATCAAAGTCCCCTTCATTTTGGCTTTGTTGGCTTCTAGTTCCGCCAGCTCTTGCAGCCGCCTTTTGCTCATGCCTCTGCGCTCCAGCTGTTTTTCAATCACTTTGGCATTCTGTGCATACGAGTCAGCAATCTCCCTGGCCTCAATCTCCTCTTCCTCTTCATCAATAGTAGACACAGTGACAGAGCTGAACTTGCCCATGTCTTTAGTCCGTTTGGTCATCATCACCTTCTTAGGAGGCTCTCGCTTCTGAGTATATATATTCGTTTTCCCAAAACCCTGGCCAAACTTGACTACTGCTCCATCCACAATAAAGGTCACAGGAGCATTCTTTGGCTGGGACTGGTAGAAGAGTGGCAGTCCGCACTTCGCACACTTCTTTCTGTACTGTCGTTCAATGCCTTCAGGCCTGCGAAGATACATAGTCTCCTGGTCTTCTGTGTTACAAAACTTGTGGGCGTGTTTGGCAGCATCAATCACCCGGGACTGATCCCGGGGCCTCATGGGCAATTTCTCCAACTGACAGTCCAGCACCAGAACCATCTGGCCACACAAACAGTAGTAGATGTGGAGGGGCTTCTCGCCGTCCTCATATTCCTCCCGGTCTCGGGTGTAGGAGCAGACAACTGACCGGGACACAACTTTAGGCATAGTTCACAGGAGATGCCCACAAGCGCAGTGCCAAAAATAAGGGTTATGCAGAAAACAAGGCGACTCACTTCTAATTGAAGGTGGGAATCAAAGTAGTAAGAAGCTTCAGAATAAAGTTAAAAGGCAAGGGATTAAGGGCAAATACAAATATTTACAAAAACCATACAAAACTGTGCAAAAGGGTTAGTAGTAATATATTAAAAATCTAGCACATTAACCATAGACAACTACCTTATTAGAAAAATGAACAAAGGATATAAATAGGAAATTCACAAAAGAAGAAATACAAATGTCCAATAAGTATAACTTAAGATGTACACTGATATTGTAAAAATAAACCAACACCTACACAACCTAATCAAGGAAATATATCTAAAGCATTCCATTATTTAAAAATGGGAATTTTTAAAGAACTAGGTTAGAAGATTTGAAAATATATGTCAGTAAAGATAAATGATGAGATGTTTACTGATTTTTTCTTTTCTCCTTTTATACTTTTTTCTACAGCCATGTATCATTTTGTAATAAGCTTTTAATTTTATTTACAAAGCAATTGCCTGGAATTTGGCAGTATGAACCCCAGGAGCTAACACTTGTAAAATATTGCTGATGTCACATTTTCATTTCTCAAGCAGAACTATCAATTTCTCAGATGCAGGTCATCATATTGTAATGGCAGTTTCATTGCTCATTAGGTGGAGCCCTTCTCCCATTCTAGTGTTTTGTGTGTTTTTTTTTCCCCACCTTAGCCCCTACCGCGAAAGGCAGGGGGATAAAAAATAAAACGTCTTTTGACATTGGTTGGCGTATCTGTTAAAAAGTCTCATAAAGGAGGCTTTCCTGTTATCGGCATGTTTCATTCGGGCTCCCGCTTCACCCAGCACAGGAGAACCCATTGCAGTGTGGGCTGCACTGTATTCCATTCTCACAGAAAGTTTTGACAGTATTACCCGGGTGTTGTTGCCTCATCACATATAAAGTGCGTCGTGAATTCAATAGCTATTACTGTGCACACATAAAATGTGCACAGAGAACTCAGCTTTCTACCTCCCATCCAACCACCTTATACTGTATACCCCACCATCTTAAGTTTTGACTTCAGAGTGGAAAATGGGGCTCCTATATTTCCCCTTTGAGGGAGAGCGTTTCAGAGATACGTACTGAGAAAACAGATATGTCTCAGGTTAGGAATCCAGGTCTTCCCACAGGAACCCCATTGGGATGTAATTCCGGGGTGTCCTGCCCTCCTGCCAAATCCAGGTTTCAGGTCCCCGCCTCCCTACCGGCTCTCAGTCTCGCACGCAGAGGTAGCGCCGTCCTAGCCCCGCCCCGGCCCCGCCCCCTAGCATGACGTCACCACGCGCGCCGTGCGCCGAGCGCCGCGCCTCCTGTCAGTGGCAGCCATTGTTCCGCCGGTCGCGCTGGCTGCACTGGGGCTGGGCCGGTCCTACCCGCCTCTCCGCGTCCCTGTCCCCCTTCCAGCTGGGCGAGGGGGCCGGTCCCTGGCTCGGCGCACTCGGGCTCTCAGGTGCAGGCCGCCATGAGCAAACGGAAAGCGCCGCAGGAGACTCTCAACGGGGGAATCACCGACATGCTCACAGGTCAGCCCGGCGCCGGGGCCGCCGGCTTTCTTCGTCCCCCCACCCCCTTGCCGTCCCTGCTCCCTTTCCCGTCCCGACAGCCCGGGGGATGGGGTCGGCCCCTCGCAGCGGGTGATCTTCCGTGCGGACCTTCCTTCCGCGCCGGTGGCCGGTGGCTGAGGGTCGGCTCCGCTGGGGCCCCTGTCGCCGCTCGGGCTGCTGTTGGCGTGGCCGGCGGAGCCGTGGAGGGTCCCCGCCCTTGAAGGTTAAAGGCGGCGACTTCCCCTCGTGGGAAACTCAGTTCTTGTCTGTGGACTCGTGGCTCGTGTTCACCCGAGCCTCTTGTTGCCTTTTCAGAGCTCGCAAACTTCGAGAAGAACGTCAACCAGGCGATCCACAAGTACAACGCTTACAGGTGGGCCGGACTTGCCTTCCGGGGTGCGGGGCGGGCGGAGGGCGGGGGCCCGCGTGCGTGTGGGCCATCTGCGGGAGCAGGAAGGCAGCAGGGCTGCAGGCGCGACTGCTGGGGCCCGACTGCCGTACTCTGGGGGAACCTGGGCAGAGCTCTGCGAGGTCCATTCAGTCCAGTTCGGACGGAACACGGGCTGATTTCCTGTCGTTAGACACGAGTTACTGAAGATGCAGTCTGCTTTTCACGTACGTGAGGACTGTGCTGTGAAATAGATGTGGTTCGAGGGGACACGTGTTCCCTCCGGTTGTGCTGTGTCTTGTCCTGTCCCCTCTTTGGACCCCATCCTTGTTCATCGCACCGGGGGCCTGAGCCTAGACGTTATGCCACTTGCTTCTGACCCTTCGCCTGTAAACACGCCCTACTTCCTCTGCTCTTAAAAGCGAAAGCAAAGCGATCGTCTTCACTTCCCTCTAACTCGGACCTTATCTCTCTCTCCCACTTGACAATTACCCTTCTTTTTTTAAAAAAATATATTTTATTGACTTTTTACAGAGAGGAAGGGAGAGGGACAGAGAGCTAGGAACATCGATCAGCTGCCTCCTGCACACGCCCCACTGGGGATGTGCCCGCAACCAAGGTACACGCCCTTGACCGGAATCGAACCCAGGACCGTTCAGTCCGCAGGCCGATGCTGTATCCACTGAGCCGAACCGGTCAGGGCTGACAATTACCCTTCCTGAGTGATCTGTGTCCCTGCCTGGTCTTCCTGCTCCCTAGCCTTTTATCTCATGGCGGGATGATTTCCATTCTGCCGACCCGCTGAAAATGCCCTCACCTACATCTCCTCTTACGGGCTTCTCAGTGACATTCACTACTAGCTCCTTCTACTCATGTCTTACCCCTGACTTCCGTGGCGGCACAGCCTTCCGTCCTTGCACCTCTTCTGCCTTCCGTGTTCATGTTGGCAGTGCCTCGCGAGTCCTTGCACCTCTTCTGCCTTCCGTGTTCATGTTGGCAGTGCCTCGCGATCTGCCCTCGGAGACTGTCCTCTCACTCTCTCGGCAGTTCTTACCATTCTTGGTGGCTTCCTATACTGGTTATGTCAGGGACTCCAAATATGGATCGCACTGGGCTTTTCTTCAGATTTTTACGTCTACAGCCCCTTAATCTTTACCTTTCCAAAGCCGAACTCAACTTCCTCCTTCCCTTCCCAGCCAGCGAAATTTAGAAAGGATTATACCCCTTTACCTCCTTTACCTCCTATGGCTTCCCATATAAAGTAATGGTCCTGTCATCCACACATTTGATGACATAGCAGTCAGGAGATATTTTCAACCCTATCATTTGAGTCACAGCAGGCTTCAGAGAGGAACTGTTTAGTCTTGCCCTTCAATTCTAATTGATAGCTTTGCTGGGTAGAGGAGGTCCTTGCCTTTCATCACTTTGAATATTTCTTGCCACTCCCTTCTGGCCTGCCAAGTCTCTGTTGAGAAATTAGCTGACCGTCTTACAGGAGCTCCCTTGTTGGTAACTAACTGCTTTTCTCTTGCTGCTCTTACGATTCTCTCTCTAACGATAACTTTTGGCATCTTAATTGTGATGTGTCTGGGTGTGGGCATCTTTGTGTTTATCTTATTTGGGACTCTCTGTGCTTCCTGGACTTCCATGTCTATTTTCTTCATCGGGTCAGGGAAGTTTTCTGTCAGATGTGGAAAATGAATGATTTTGGTGAAAGTTTAAGCTGCATATTTGCTTGTATGTGTATTCCAGTTTAAGAAAAATTAAGACCTTACTGGATTTCTATTTTTTTTTTTTTATAGAAAAGCAGCATCTGTGATAGCAAAGTACCCACACAAAATAAAGAGTGGAGCAGAAGCTAAGAAACTGGTAAGTTTAGTAAGCAAGTTGATTGAAGAATTTACACATGTACGAATTTGGTGGGCTTCCATAAACTAAATTTGGCCCACATAGGCAATTTCACTGTACTGACTTATTGGAATAATATTTATTTTGCTTCAAGCATACTTCAAGCTCAAAGTGTTTTGATTGGGAGAGGGATGAGTTTAAAAATTTTTAAACATGTGTAATTAAATTTTTTTTCTCTACTCTCTCCATTTATGCATGTTCTCACTCATTTTCAGTTTGAGCATAGTCCTGAAGAAGGGTATCTGGTCCCCAGCTACCTTTTTCTGATCCCACGTATAGGAACTTACATGAGTTCGTGTTGCCAAAGAGATCTTACCTGTTAATAAGCACACGATTAACCCCCTTTGTATATTATGGCATTTAGCCCTGTCCTATGTAATTTCCATAAAGCCCTGTATGCTAGCAGTGTCACAATTTCTAGAAGGTCGCATCCTTGGTAATTTGTAATAGTAATGTTAATAGTATCCTGGGAAAGTTTACCTAATGATAATCAGATTATTCTCTCATATAAATCTCACTAAAAGATTCTAAGTTCTTAAAAATTAAGGACCATACCTTATTCATTTTTTATTTTATTATTTTTTTAAACCCTCACTCGAGGATCTGGTTATTGATCTTAGAGGGTGGAGAAGGGGAGGAGAGAGAGAAAGAGAACATTGATGTGAGAGAGAAACATTGATTGGTGGCCTCCTGTACCTGCCCCAAGTGGGGATGGAACCTTCAACCTGGGTATGTGCCCTGATCAAGAGTGGAATCTGCCGAAACCGGTTTGGCTCAGTGGATGGAGCGTCAGCCTGCGGACTGAAAGGTCCCAGGTTTGATTCCGGTCAAGGGCATGTACCTGGGTTGCGGGCACATCCCCAGTGGGGGATGTGCAGGAGGCAGCTGATTGATGTTTCTCTCTCATCGATGTTTCTGGCTCTCTATCTCTCTCCCTTCCTCTCTGTAAAAAATCAATAAAATATATTAAAAAAAAAAAAAGAATGGAATCTGCAACCTTTCGATATATGGGATGATGCTTCAACCAACTGAGCCACACTGGCCATGGCTTATTCATTTTTTCTTAAAGATGTCAAACTGACATGGCTTTTGGTTAGTCTAGATCAGTGATGGTGAACCGTTTGAGCTCCGTGTGTCAGCATTTTGAAAAACCCTAACTTAACTCTGGTGCCGTGTCACATATAGAAATTTTTTGATATTTGCAACCATAGTAAAACAAAGACTTCTATTTTTGATATTTATTTTATATATTTAAATGCCATTTAACAAAGTAAAGTCAACCAAAAAAATGAGTTCGTGTGTCACCTCTGATACGTGTGTCATAGGTTCACCATCACTGGTCTAGATCCTGATAGTTATCACCTTCTTCTGTTGTTCTTTATCTGTGTGTTTTCAAAGTCCTGTAGAATTTAGGTATTAATATTTTATTGTCCTTAACTTTCTCATGAGCGCCTTTAGAATGTAAACTATAACTGTTCTTATATTTTCATCTTTCAGTTTTTTGTTTTTTTTAATATATTTTTATTGATTTTTTACAGAGAGGAAGGGAGAGAGATAGTCAGAAACATCGATGAGAGAGAAACATCGACCAGCTGCCTCCTGCACACCTCCCACTGGGGATGTGCCTGCAGCCAAGGTACATGCCCTTGACCGGAATCAAACCTGGGACCTTTCAGTCCGCAGGCCGATGCTCTATCCACTGAGCCAAACCGGTCTTGGCCAGAGTTTTTTTAAAATATATTTTTTATTGATTTTTTACAGAGAGGAGGGGAGAGGGATAGAGAGTTAGAAACATCGATGAAAGAGATACATCCATCAGCTGCCTCTTGCACGCCCCCTATTGGGGATGTGCCCGCAACCAAGGTACATGCCCTTGACCGGAATCGAACCTGGGACCCTTGAGTCCGCAGGCCGACACTCTATCTGCTGAGCCAAACCAGTTAGGGCCAGAGTCCTAACATTACCATAAATCTTGTACTTTTTGACTAAGTGACAGATTATCCACTTTAGTCATGTACCACATCTTCAACTTGAATTTATTACTCAATACAAATCATGCTCTGGTGTCTAGGTTTTAAATCCTTTGTGTTCATAATAGTTCTCAACTTCAATACATCCTCCCCAAATAGACTAGCCACGCAAGTTATAAATACATTAGTCTTTAATTCTAAGTTTCTATCTTGTCGAACTGACCCAGTATTAAACCTCAGAAGCCACTTCTCCCATTCTGTTCCCCTTTAATCACCATTGAATTTCCCTTTTTATGTTAATTGCAAATAGCCCGATCATTTATTAAAGGCAAACGTCTGTCAAACTTTGATGCACTTCATTCCAAATCTCAGTTATGGTATATCCCTAAAAAGAACACAGAAGTACC